CCCCCCCCCCCCCATTGCCATCTTTTACTGTACTGTGTCAATTCAAGGCCTGATTCCTGAAACTCCATGCTTTTATAGCCTCATGGATGTTCATGCATGGGTACCTTTAAATAGTGGGCTCCATGGTAGAAGGCCCTGTCCTTTTGTTATTTGCCTGCATGGCATCTTGCAACACCCAGACTGCTATATACTGAACAATAATAATAAAGCACAATGATTTTTTGAGTAAACAGCTAAGTAAATGCATATACAAATTACTTGCATGGAGCTACATTGTCCTCTAGGCACTGGGGATGTAAGTGACTAGTTGTGACTAGCAAATGCTTATCATATAGTCGACTCGTGGTTTGACTAGTTGCTTTCTTCCCTTGCTGCCTCTATCAGAGAGAGGCAGCAAAGGGGGAGCCAGGATCCAGTGCTGGGTGGAGCTGGTTTAAAAGCCAGTTCTCCCCTCCCCCCTGGTACCGTCGCCATGGGGAGAAGGGGAAGGGACACAGCGGGGAACTGGCAGTGCTCAAAAGCAGAAGCGCTTAGGGTGAGCTGAGGACTCAGTCTTCTGCTGGCCCCAGGCTCCCTCCTTTTGAAATGTACTAGAGTCCCAGGAGGGCTGCTGTACATTTCGAAAGTAAAGCACTGCAGGGAGCAGGGAACTGCTTGAGTCCACCACTAACCCTGGTCCCCCATGGGGCTTCAGCCTTTGAAATGTAGCAAGAACCAGTGGGGCTGTTGCTGCAGTTCAAAGGTGGAGGCTCCCTTATCGACTAATCGAATAGTCGATGAAATTACATTCACTATTCGATTAGTTGATTAATCTGAATTTAGCATCCTTGCTAGGCACTAGCCTGACCAAAGGGCAATGCACAAACCAAGCTGCCTTAGGGAGGTATCCTGTTCAGAGATACCCTCTCCCCTTCAAGAAGCAAACAAGATAGAGGGGAGTAAGCCGCTGCAGTTTACAACTCCACTTGGGCTGGCCAGCTACTTTTTGCCAGTGAAAGGGAGTAGAGAGAAAGCTCTGTGTGCTCCTTGACCCCTTGTTTGCAGTGGGGAGTGTTTGGAGAGTTGAGCTGCTACTTTGCAACAGAGTCCATCTGGATACCTGTGTTAGTCTTGCTTGGCTGAGCAGCAGGGTGTGAGGGTTACTCTCCGCTATTCTGCTTGAGTGAGTACGAAAAGGACGTAGGCTAGTCCAGTGGTCCCCAACCTTCTGGGGCTGCTGGGCGCCCAGAGGCGGGGCCACACATACGCTGCGTGGCGAGGGCCGGCTCGAGCCATTCCTGTGCCCTGGGCAGAGGGTGTGTGATGCATGCGCGGCTCCGTCCCTGGGCACATGGTGCATGCGTGGCCCCGGCGCGCTGTGCACCTTACAGCTGCAATCGGGCGCGTGGCGCTGATGGCAGATCTAAGGGGTGCCATGCAGCCCCGGCGCCTGATGGCAGCTCTAAGGAGCGCTGTGCAGCCGGGCGCGCAGCGCCCCTTACAGCTGCCATCAGGCTCCCCCCATAGTTTGGCGCTCCAGGCAGCTGTCCGGCTAGACCCCCCCCTTAATCCAGCCCTGGTTGTGCCCAGGGGCAGGGCCGCACATGTGCCGCGTGCCTGGGGTGGGGGCCGCGCATGTGCCAGGTACCCGGGATCCGGGGCGCAAGAATGGCTCTGGCCGGCCCTGGTCACTATGCGGGTGCACATAAAGTCCTTTAAACTTTGCTTCCCAGTCAACGCATTTAGTTTCATTTTTACATTTCCTCTGTCATAGCACACTGTGTGTGGGTGGATCTGTAGGCCAGCTCAGGCTAGCCTTTGTAATTATGATCCCCGTATTCAGAGCCAAGAGATGTCGGTAGAGTTTTAGCTCCTAAGGCTAAATCAGTATGTGCATGCCCTAGCTGCTCTTCATTCTGCAGGCTATTCTGAGAATCAAGTCCATACTAGCTTTCTTCATTGCTGTTGCCAGCAAACATCTGCTCCACCAGATGGAATTTTTTTTCATATGAGGGGGTGATGGTGGGGAAACCTGGCCCAGCATACATTTTATATAGAGTAGTCACACAGACTTCCCTTTCAGAAGGTGTCTGGGAAAGGAAAAAGATGTAGATTTAATGTTCCGTCCAGAGGCCGGGTTAGTGGAAAATTTCATGGTTTTTGTGTTCATCTGAAGAGGTAATAGGCTGAAATAGCTGAAGATTTAAATTGATCAATTAAAAGAAAATCCTAGTGTCCTTTAGCCATTGTAACAATCAAGAGAGAGATTCTACACTGAGAGAGTAGAATCTATTTGTCCTTGAACTAGGGATGTTAGACTAGTCGACTATCCGATAAGCATTTGCTTATCAGATAGTCTTTTGACTAGTCGATATTCTCCCCTCCTGCCCCCCGCTGCCTTTATGAGAGAGAGGCAGCAAAGGGGGGAGAAGGGGTACTTCAAAGTGGCAGTGCTGCACAGCTCTGCGGTGCTGCCACTTTGAAACCCCAAGGTGGCGTTTCAAAGGAGCAGCTGCTGCCCCTTTAAAACTGCCTCTGTGTTTCAAAGGAGCAACCATGGAGCCTGGCGTCAGCTGGAGAATCCCCCTCGGCATTTCCCTTGAACCCAGGATCCACTGGGGACTCTTGTGCATTTCAGAGCAGGCACCCGTGTGCAGCCTGGAGTCAGAAGGACTTCCCGCTGGCCCTGGGTTGCATGCGGCCAGAGGCTCTGGTACGTTTCAAAGGAGGAATGTGAAAGTGACTATGGACTAGTCAATTAACTGCATTTTAACATCCTTACCTTGAACAACTCAAATTTTCCCCAGTGTTTTTTTTTTTTTTTTACAGTCTGTATGAGGTTACTGGGGAAGGATGAGTGTGGAGAGGGAACTGAGTCTTGAGAGTCTTTTGCATTATTTACACTGACGTTAAAGGTTGATGCTGTCATCAGATTTGTGAAGTAGGGATGTTAAGTGTAGATTAATCAACTAATCGAATAGTCGATGCAGTTTGCATCGACTATTCAATTAGTGGGTAAGGGCGCCTCCACCTTTGAAATGTAGCAAGAGCCCTGTTGGCTCTTGCTACATTTCAAAGGTGGAGGCGCCCTTACCCACTAATTGAATAGTCGATGCAAACTGCATCGACTATTCGATTAGTTGATTAATCTACACTTAACATCCCTACTTCACAAATCTGATGACAGCATCACTCCACCAGTTCCCTACTGCGCCCCTACTCCTTCCTTTCCCCACCCCCAGAGACAGAACTGGGAGGAACCAGCTTTTAAGTCGACTCCCCCCAGCATTAGCTCCTGCTCCTCCCACCCTCGTAGCCTCTCCCAGATAGAGGCAGCATGTAGGGGAGAAAACGACTAGTCGAGTCACTAGTCCAGTTGGCTGTCCGATAAGCATATGCTTATCGGGTAGTTGACTAGTTGCTTTCATCTCGATTGTGAAGTGCACAGTAGTTTGCAATATTGCAAAATATACATATGCATAATACTGAAATTGCCTAGCTTCCCTCGCTGTGACAACTGTATCTACCTTCTGCTTTTTGTTGGTCAATATGAATATATTTAATGAGCCAGCGTGTCCTTTCCAGGAAAAGAGTCTCTGCAGCTAAGCCATCTCTTTCCTTTGTGTGCACTTGTCATGTTATGACTGTCTATTTCTGATTTCTCTTTGTTCTTATTTCATTTTCAGGAACATGTGTGAAGTGCAGCAAAGGTGTGTACGGAGCAAGCCAGGCTTGCCAAGCCATGGGAAATCTCTACCACGATGGCTGCTTCACCTGTGGAGCATGTAGTAAGTGTGTGTTTGCCTGTGTGGTAAGGGGAAGCATTGCACGTGCGGGAATGGAGCTTTACAGCAAATGAGTTTTCAGATTTTTTTCAAAACATGTAGGGATGTAAAATTTTGCTTAATTAGCTAATCGAATAGTCGGGCAATTTGCATCAGATATTTGATAAGGGTGTCTCTGCCTTTGAAGTCAAAGGCGAAAGCACTGCGAGGAGAATGGGGCCAGCAGGAGACTCAAGCAGGCTGCATGGCACCTGATGTCACCAGGGGAGTCCCCAGCTGACCCTGGGCTCCATGCTGCGCTGCCGCTTTGAAATGCTACGTGGAGCCCAGGATCTGGCCCCGAGCTCCATGTGGCGCTGCCACTTTGAAGCACCCCTTCCTTCCCCTCCATTGCTGCATCTTTCTGATAGAGGCAGCAAGGGGAGAGGTGGGAAGCGACTAGTTAACTAGCATGTCGACTAGTCATTCACATACCTAAACATATGGTTATTTTATTTACATGACAGATTGCATGTACCTGATGGATTCTGTTGCTGCTCTTTTAATTTTTTATATTACTTCTGGGACATCATTTAGATGAGGTGGTTTTGGATTATGCTTGTTTTCTACTATGTAAAAAGCAAGAGAGGGCCCTTTGGGTATTTTTAAGTGCCTGTTCTCTACTAATGCAGCTGTATCTTATTTATTATTTAACTTCTAAAGCAACATGGGTGTACATGGAACTTCATAAACCTAGAATGCTAGACACAGGAACCACTGGATGAAATTCCATGGCCTGTCTTGTACGTGTCAGACTAGATGATCTTATGATCCCATCTAGCCTTAAAATCTAGGGCCTGGTCTACACTTAGCACCTTAGTCCAAAATAAGCCCCTGAAGGTTAATTTTTGTAAGCGATGCGTACACACCACCAACGCTGTTGTTCCACAATAAGGGGCTGTAGAATTCGAACTCGGTAGTCCTGTTTTCATGAGGAATAATGCTATTCCCAAGCTTGCAAGTCCAAAATAATCTTAGTTTGGACACTCTAGTGCCACTAATTCTAACTAATTGGCCTCTGGAAGGCCTCTTGTAGCTCCCCAGAGTGCTTCCTGGAGCTCTGAATCCGAAGTAGTGTCTCCACATTAGTGTAGCCTGCCTCTGACTACATTCAATACTTCCCTGTGGTGAGGACCTGAAACTTCGGATTTGTAAAACTGGGTGCCCAGAAGTTGAATTTAGTAAATGCGAAATAATCTCCTAGTTTAGACAAAGCCTAGGTGTCTGTGAGGGAAACTCCCTGCCCAGAAGATTTTACAGCAGGGGTGAGCAATAATTATTGGCCAGGGGCCACTTCAGAAATTTTTAAAGTGCTCCTGGGCTGCCCAGAAGGGGTGGGGCCTAAACCGAAAGGGGCAGGGCCAGGATGCTTACGGGCTGCCCCACCCACAGATCCTGATTGGTCCGGGAGTGGGGGAGCCCCTTTTCTCTCCCCTCCCCCTTCCCACTAGGAACCCACTGTGCCTTGGCGCGAATCCGACCCGCGAAGGCCCTTTTGCCCATCACTGCTTTAGTTTGAGGACCAGGATATGTGAGTTCTGCATGTGAAGGGGTAGCAGAATTGGTCCGAAGTTAAGTTATGAATAGCCTTGTAAAGTAAGATACGCCTTTTTAGATTTAGAGCTACTTCACCTTCTAACTTCACTTTGTCTCGGTCAAGATTTTATGTCCCTCCCTTGATTTTACCATTTTCACCTGTGACCGTGCTACATCTTGTTATGTTACACAGATGGCAGGATACATGCTACACTTCTATAAAACTACCTGTGATGATTCTCCTCCCTCCCCCCACCAATGTTTTATGAAAATTGGCTTATGAATATAAATTATAAATATGCATAACTCAAAGATGCTGTAGACAAATTACCTCGTGTAATCTATCAATGTCATAATCTGCTGAATCTGTGTATCCTGTTTTGATGCAGCTACACACAAGCATGATAAAGTTAGAAATATGAAGTATGAAACTGTTTATAGTTTTCAGTGTGCTGAGGAGAGCCATCCCTTGTGCTTTGGAAGCCATAACACCTTGGTGATCAACCTCATAGACTCATAGACTTTAAGGTCAGAAGAGACCATTATGATCATCTTGTCTGACCCCCTGCACAGTGCAGGCCACAGAATCTCACCCACCCCTCCCAGAATAATCCTCTCACTTATATCTCAGATATTGAAGCCATCAACCTAATGACTTGTAAAGAGCCTTGTTTTTCCTATAAGTCCAAATGCTACTGGGCTAGTAAGACATGTGACCTCACCATTTGGTATTGGGATTCCATTTTGACCCTTGTATTTTTCCGTGGAAGGGAGGATGTAGAACAAAAGATTCCTGCCCTGGAGAAAAGTCTATTTAAGCAACGGAAAGCTATCAACCGTTTGTCTTTGGCTGATGTGGCACACTCCAAACAAGGCTGGGAACCAAGTTAGAATAAAAGATCATCTTTGACTTGAAGACTATGTCAGGAACAAGAACAGCTCTTTAGGATAAGAATCTGCTTCCAATAGTTTTTAGTGAACTGGAACTAGCTATACATTTTCTTTTCATTTTAATTTAGTAGTTTACTTTGATCTGTCTGTTTTCACTTGGAACCACTTAAATCCTACTGTTTGTACTTTGTGAAAATACTTGTATTTACTGTCAGGCTCAGAGTAAGTAACCGGGAAAACTATCAGTTTACATATCCCTCTTCCATTGATAAAGAAGGCTCAGGAGCTTTCCTGGTGTAAAACTTTTACCCAGAGAAAGATGGATTTATTTGGGATTTTGGTCTCTTTAGGGCAGGGTTTCCCAGCCTATGGGTCGGGACCCAAATATGGGTCAGCATTACATTTCAAAAGGGTCACCAAGTGTCTCCCCAGGTGGCTGTGCCCTCCCTCCTCCCCCCATTTTTGAATTGCCTTGGGTCACCAAGTCTTTCTGAATTGTCAAAATGAGTCCACACCTAGAAAAGATTGGGAACCGCTGCTTTAGGGGTTAGTTTCCTGGGTGCTGTATCCTAAAATTACATTGTCCCAGAGCTGAAGTGGGTCAGTGTCTGAATTGCTCTTCATGGATTGGTAACCCCAACTCTGTGCCTTGTCTGGGAGAGATCAGAGGATCTGGTCCAGCAGGACAAGGAAGCCCTAGAGAGCAAGAAGGTGAGTGTCAGTGGCATGATCAGCACACCAGAGAACAATCCTAAGGGGCCTTTTGTGACGGGGTACATGTTGGTTTCCAGGATGGATTAAACATTGAAATTGCTGACCTTGCCATTCGCTGATAAATGGGCTACAATGAAGAAATAGTGGAACTGCTGGCATTTATTCATAAATATTGCCCTCTACTCTCTGCCCCCCATCCTCCCACATGCAAGTTCATACCTCTTCTTTCACTCTTTTCTCTTTCCTGTGTGCCAAACATCTTTGATGTCTGTCATCTTGCAAATCTATCCTCAAAACCCATGTCTCTTGCCTTGCCTCCTGCTGTAGACTGCGCAGGACTGGAAGATGGCTTTTACCTAACAACTCATTCTGTAGTATGTAACACAAATTACTGATCTTTTTTAATCCCTGCTTCCTTTGTCTAGTCTCGTGTTCCATGGTTTTTTGTTTTAGACTGTAAGTTTTTTGAGTGGAGGTAGGGAGCCTCAGTGTGCTTTATTTTAATAATCTCCATAATAATCTGCAAATTTATGATGCTAATAATTTTTTCCTGTGAATAATAAAAGTAATGGCTTTGTACTTCTATAAGACGTTCCATCTGAGGCTCTCAAAGTATTTTATAATGACTGATGAATTAAGCTTTGCAATGCATCAGTGAGGCAAGTAGTTGTGTTTGCTCCATTTCACCAATGGAGAAACAGCCCCAGAAAGACTAAGGGCACGTCTAGACTGTTTTTCTTTCGAAAAGATATGCAAATTGGCGCGAATTTGCATATCTTCGGATTGCTTTTTCAAAAAAGGTTTTTTCAAAAAAGCAAGTGGTCTAGACGTGATTCTTTTGGAAAAAAAATCCTTTTTGGAAAGAACGTTGTAAACCTCCTTTTTTGAGGAAGAAGGGTTCTTCCAAAAAACGGTTTTTTTAAACTGCATCTAGACTGCTTGCTTTTTCGAAAAAACCTTTCAAAAAAGTGATTGGAAGAAGATATGCAAATTTGCGCCGAATTAGCATATCTTCTTTCGAAAGAAAAATGTAGTGACTGCATGGCCTGTAGGTGGGAGCCAAAACAAAAAAGTAGTGCATATAGTAGTCTTCTGTTGATATTAGAGTTGCCAGATGATTTAACCAAAAATACTGAAAGTCTCCCCCCCTCCCCACCACCAAAAAAAGCACTGGGAGAAAAATAGTGTTGGGGTGGGGGAAGGGGGGAAACTAAAGTTGTTTAGCACAAAAAACAAACAAACAAAAGCCAGAAGACAGTGCCCTTGTGGAACCAGGTAAGCAAAGAGGCCGGGGTCTGGGCCCAGTTGCTGAGTATGTGTAGGGTTCCCGGACAGGAGGTGAAAATACTATCTGGGTCAGTACCGGACACCTGGCAACCCCAGTTGATATAAGTTTTAGTACTTATATGTCTGGCCTGCCATTGCTCATTAAAAGTGATGTCATATGGATGGAAATTGTGTAAATATAGCATTTTATTAATATCCGCCTGTGTGTTGTGTAGTGTTGTCTTAATCTTTGTATTCATGTCCACCAGTGTGAAAAGCTATTTACATAAATATTTGCATATATCTGCAACCACACTTAAGTTGCGGTCCTCAGCATGTGCTGTGAGTATCACTGTGGCTTCTGGGGCTTCCAAATTTGAGTAGCCCTGTTCTAAAGGCCATGCTCTGTCCATTATACATCCTTGCTAGTATGAATTTAGAAATGTAGCTCCTTGTAGTGCATTTTGTAACAGTACGATCACATGGTGCCTTTGCATAGCTGGAGTTTTATTTTCCAAGATAAGGATTTCTTTTTTCTGTTGCATTTAGAATTGTAA